TGTCCAGTAAAAAAATTTAAAAATCAAATTTCGTCATAAATTTCAGCCAAAATGCATTCTGTGACATGTCTTTGCTAAAAAAAACCCAATACGTGTAAATTAATTGGTTTACGTGAAAGTTATAGTGTTTACAAATGGCGGGAAAGATACTGGGATTTTTAAAATTTTTTTATACTAATAATGGCGGCGATTAGCGACTTATGGCGGCGATCAGTGACTTATGGCAGCGATCAGCGACTTATGGCAGGACTGTGCCAGACATTCTGACACTGGGGGGAACTGACTTGGGGTCACTGACATCCCCAGTGATACCAATACAGTGATCAGTGCAAAAAAAAAAAAAACACACTGACATTGTACTAATGGCACTGAGGAGGAAGGGGTTAACTTTTTTATTCAATGAAAGGGTTAACTGTATGAGGGGAGTGTTTTACTAGGGGGCGGAGAGGTGTACTGTACGGGAACACGCTGATCCGGAGAGATAAACTCTTCCCTCCAGATCAGCATGTCAGGAGCTGACAGGGAACTGACAGAAAGCAGAGGTGCAGTGTAAACACTGCAGCCGTGCTCTCTGTCAGTGATTGGCACTAATCGCCGGGACATGGCAGGTAATGACCGGCCGTGACCCGGCGACTGACACTCGAGGGCCGCGATCGTCGGCGGAGGTAGGGCGGTGGTGCGCCTCACGCGCGCCCCCTACCTGTTTTGCAAAAGCACATTTTAAAACCTGGTTTTGCACAGCCATGCCTCCCTGCCTCCGTATTTCTACAGTGGCTGGTCGGCAAGAAGTTAAAGTTCTAACAAAAGAGGATAACAATGACATGCGCTGAGATTGCCGCATCACGTCCTAGCTCACAGTAGCAGTCCTGCAATCAGTGCTGCTGCTTGTGTGAACAAGCCTTTAACCCTTTTCTACTCTATCCAAAACTAAAAAGAAAGATATCAAATTTAACTTGTTAAAGATGCAAGCTTTTTTGTTAAGTTTCTTTAGCAAGCATTTTACAAAATGAATACATAGAACAACAGAGAGACACAATAAAAAAATACAACTGTTTTCACATTGACACACAGTAAGATCTTATAAAATTGTAAAACTTATAAACTTGTAAAATTTTAAAATATATAGGTAATGATCAGGATTCAGGAACCTTATAGTGGGAAAGTACAGATCCTAGAGGTAAGAAGTCCATGCCAATTTCTTACTTTCATCTGGTGAGAGTGAAAGTCATTTTTAAATATCAATATGCAATTTCATTGCCACATAAAATTTCTGTCCTTTTATGGGCCAAAGCCCAGAATTTCAAATGTTTCTATGAGTTTCCATTCTGCTTTCAATCTCTTTTTTGTTAAAGCTCCCCATCTGTATTGTATACTTGAGATCATTTCTGCTGTGACCCATGTTGAAGAAATGGGCCACTGAAAAAGCATCAGTTATGCTTTTTAATTGTGAATCTGTAAAGCATAAATCATTGGAACCTCCAATTTATTGGAGTCTCAGCAGCATAGAGTTCTGTTGGACATTTTATTAGGTGTACCGTCTTTGAGCATCAAAAGCAAAAAGTACCCAATATTCCAGACTCCTGCTGTGATGCTGGTACTAGTATCCTGCTAGGAGCATTGGAAATGTGTGCAGGGTTTACGTAAACCTTGAACTGCAGACTAATCTGTCCACCGAAAGTGTCAGCTACAGCGTTTGGGACAAGCTATAACCCTGTCAGGGGTGTTTACCTACTTTTAGGCACATTGTTTAAATAATCTAAAAAAAATATACAAAAGAGAGGAAAAACTATTGCCTCGACTGTTCAAGCACCTCTCAGTTAAAATTTCACTGTCAGCTTATAAATACTGGTATGTACTAAAAATACAGTTACTGTTTAATATACAAAATATTACACATGTTAATCTTCTGTTTCTCCGATCAGTTCATCTCCCACAGTTATCTTTTGTTCCACTAGCCCGTCCCTCTTTTATCGATTTGTATCATTGCTGTATTGTCTCCCTTTATAGAGTAAAGCGCTGAGAAAACTGTTGGTACTATATAAATCCTTACATAGTTACATAGTTAGTCTGGCTGAAAAAAGACAAAAGTCCACCCAGTTCAACCATAGAAAAAAAAAAGTTATAATCTTATACCCACAGTTGATCCAGAGGAAGGCAAAAAAAAAAAAAACCCAGCAAAGCATGATCCAATTTGCTCCTGCTGGGAAAAAAATTCCTTCCTGCTCCCCCGAGAGGCAATCGGATATTCCCTGGATCAACTTTACCTATAATGTTAGTATCCAGTTATATTCTGTGTATCTAAGAAACAATCCAGGCCTTTTTTGAAGCAATCCACTGAGCTGGCCAGAACCAACTCTTGAGAGGAGTCTATTCCACATTTTCACAGCTCATCGCTGTGAAAAAACTTTCCGAGTTTGGAGATTACAATTTCTTTTCCACCAGACATAAAGAGTGCCCCCTTGTCCTCTGTGATGACCTCAAGGTGAATAGCTCTACACCGAGTTCACTATATGAACCACCAGGGGTGGACTGACTATTCGAGCACTCAGGCACTGCCCGAGGGCCCAGGGTCAGTAGGGGGCCCCATGAGATGCCCCTGGTACCTTTCATAGGTTTTTTTGGGTGTGGTTTGAGTTTGGTGAGGACACAGGGGCCCCTATTGCCCGGGGGCCCCATGAGTTGTCAGTCCGCCCCTGTGAACCACTGACGTATTTCTACATGTTGATTATATCCCCCCTTGATCTCCTCTTCTTGAGAGAGAATAAATTCAGTTCCTCTAATCTTTCCTCATAGCTGAGCTCCTCCATACCTCTTATCAGTTTAGTTGCCCTTCTCTCTACTTTCTCAAGTTCCCCAATGTTCTTTTTGTATATTGGTGCCCAAAACTGAACTGCATATTCTAAATCCTGTATAATAATTATTTACAGTTATCAAAACCATAACCCAGACACTGTTCTATGTGGGTTTTTTCTGTTTTCTAATAGGTTAAATAGTCTATTTGCATGTCCTTCTATGGTTTTAAAAATATATACTATTATTGCTTTTCAGTCAATATTCTATTCATACATTTACTGATTTTGCAGATTTCACAAACACAGCAGCTCATGGAGTACAATGCATTTGATTGGCTACTCTGCTCCTGAAAACAAAAAAGAAATGTGACTAGAACTGATGCTAAGCCAGTTTGAGTTTTTTTTTCTTATCACATTAGTTTAATCCATTTTATGTATATTGTTTAACATGAATTGAAATGTCATTGTTGTTTGTAATTAAATTATTATCAGTAGGAAGTTTTCATCTTTGTAATTTTCATCTTCATTTAATTCTAGTCATTTTAAAGAAAATGATCTGAGAAGCATGAATGTGTTACAGAATATCATAATGAAAATGCTGATGTGGTTCAATAATGGGGAAAGTTGCCAATAATGCTGAAGTTTTGCACACAACTGCATAAACGCAACCCATTGTCCCATTCTAGTTGCTTAGCAACAACTGTTAAGAGAGCAATAGAGAACTCGTATATTGGCTAATATATATTAACCCCTTTTTGTTTTGCTTTCTAACGGTGTGCAGACTGAGATAGCTTTCACTTAATGACAGCTGTCAGTTTACAAACTGCAGAACCTCCAAACCTGACATAAGATCAATAGGCATACACTGATAACCTCTCCTTCTGAAAATGCTTGTTGTCTGGCTGTTCTCCTGATTCTCTTATGTAGTGTATGACATGGGTAACTAAACCATAGACAAAGTCACTTCAGGGGCGGACTGACCATTTGAGCATTCGGGCACTGCCCGAGGGCCCAGGGTCAGTAGGCGGTGTGATGATTGCGGCGTCAGACCCAAGCCCTTCTCACCAAACTCGTGACCTATGGACTAGCCAATCCAAAACCGCGCTGTCACGTGTGTAACAATGCCACGCCCAGCTGCACCCTGCACACAGATTTTCCAGCTAATGGACCACAGTCTGTGTACCGGCAGCCTGGAAGCGATCGTTACTGGGTCAGGTTAGTTACGCAATTAACCCTTCACACTGCCACCACCTCCTTTTTGTACAGAGAAAGAGGAAACTCGGCAATATTAGCAATAACACTATGATGGTTAGATAATCTTCTGTATACCACTGTCACCGCAGGCAGGTTATATAGAGGGTTAAACTCCCACACAGTAGCGCTCTTCAGCGGCAGGAATTCGTAATTTGCATTAAAGAGCTTTAGAAACAGTTCAACACTTTCAGAAGGTAAGATTTACTACTGAAAGGTCAAAAGGTGCAATAAAAATATCTACAGAAAAAGATGTAGCCAATATATATATATATATATATATATATATATATATATATATACAGAGAACAATAGCACAGCAAAGAGATAACAGGAATTTAGAGGGTTAAAGTACTTGCCAGTCAGCCTTGGTTTAAGCAGATCAGGTTTCATGAGCCCAAAAGGATTTTTCTTGTCTCCCGCTGTCAGTTTCGATGTTAAAACAGGAGACTCTTCTACTCTTACACACTCACACACCACTCAACTCCAAGCATAACAGCCTTTTTCTAGGATCTCAGCAGGGTGTCTCCTTACAGCAGAGAACCAATCGGCTCATTTGGGGAGGGGTGTTGGGGTGTAGACCCAAGCTAGAACAAAAATCCCTCCTAGCTTATATTATGGCCCATAACTTTTCCTAGGTACATGTAACATTCCACCCACAGGCAGATTAATACGCAGAATCATCTGCTGAATGTCTACATATGAAATATGACATACCTGCTGGGATGGTTAAGGAGATTTTATTTTCTGCTCTCCTGTTGATCTCAGCTAGGGGATGTAATATACCAAATGATTTGTATTAAAGTGACCAATCTGAATATATGCCTGGTTTTTATGTAAGTCTCTCATATTCCAAGATATGAAATCATAGGGGAAAATGGATGTTGAATGTGGTGTCTTGTTTTATGACTTCTCTGGAATGTCTTTGAACTCAGTTTTACACTTTTACGATACCCGAGATTGCACTACTAACAGACAGCTCGGTGAATTCAAGCGTGGTACCATGATAGGTTGCCATCTGTGCAATAAGTCCATCCGTGAAATTTCCTTGCTACTAAATGTTCCACGGTCAACTGTTAGCGGTATTATAACAAAGTGGAAGCAACTGGGAACAACAACAACTCAGCCACAAAGTGGTAGGCCATGTAAAATGACAGAGTGGGGTCAGTGCATGCTGAAGCACACAGTGTGCAGAAGTTGCAAACTGTCTGCAGAGTCAGAAGCTAAAGACCTCCAAACTTTTTGTGGCTTTCAGACTAGCACAACAATAGTGTGTAGAGAGCTTCATGCAATGGGTTTCCATGGCCGAGCAGCTATATCCAAGCTATATCACCAAGTGCAATGCACTGTTGGATGCAGTGGTGTAAAGCACATCGCCAGTGGACACGTGCTCTCTGGATTGTCCTCAGGCAATCCGATGGATGTGTCTGGGTTTTGCGGTTACCAGGAGAATGGTACTTGCCTGACTGCATTGTGCCAAACGTAAAGTTTGGTGGAGGGGGGGTTGTTTATCAGATGTTAGGCTTGGCCCCTTAGTTCCAGAGAAGGAAACTCTTCAGGCATCAGCATACCAAGATATTTTGGACAATTTCATGCTCCCGACTTTGTGGGAACAGTTTGGGGATGTCCCCTTCCTGTTCCAACATGACTGCTCACCAGTGCACAAAGAAAGGTCCATAAAGACCTGGATGAGCGAGTTTGGGGTAGAGGAACTTGACTGGCCTGCACAGAGTCCTGACCTCAATAACACCATTGGGATGAATTAGAGCGGAGATTGGGAGACGGGCCTTCTTGTCCGATATCAATCCCTGACCTCACAAATGCGCTTCTGGAAGAATGGTCAAACATTCCCATAGACACCCTCCTAAACCTTGTGGACAACCATCCCAGAAGAGTTGAAGCTGTGATAGCTGCAAAGGGTGTGCCAACTCAATGTTGAACCCTATGGACTAAGACTGGGATGCCATTAAAGTTCATGTACGTGTAAAGGCAGGCATCCCAATACTTTTGGCAATATAGTGTACATAGTATATAAATACACACTCTAACTGGATGGTATTTAGCTTTCTAACTCACAATGTATTGTAAACAATTGCCATTTTTTCTAACAGAAAATAAATGTTTCACTTTTCCTCCATTTGTTGTAACTCAGCACTGCTGATGCCCTGCAGCATCCTAATTATTTTACTGAAAGCTACAGATTCAAAGAAATTGAAAATTACTATTGAAATTACATTAACACATTAAATATATGCTGATATTTTAGTGATTAATTTTACAAATACTGTAACCTTTAAGGAATACATTAATGTCTGACTGGGTTCCAGTTTTAAAAATCATCATCATATACTTGCTGGTAATTAAAGGGTTAAAACAATCTCACAGCTGTAGTTGCAGCCATCAGTTTGTTTTGTATTGCTCAGCTGGCTCTTCTAATGAGTGGTGACCTTTACAGGTGCCTGAACAATTCTACATACTCCTAAAATTTTGCCCTTCTATTCATGGTTTTACATAAGCATATGCAGAATGCATGTTTTTTTTTATGCATTGATAATATACAATTTTGGCATCATAGTTTTTGTCATTTTGTGGTTTGACATATTTGGTATTTATTTAATCAGAAAGTCCCATATTTTATATATTACAAAAAATTTGGAGATTTAATTGTGTGCACTGAAAATTAATTTTAGTGTTTAGTAAAAAATATTTTAAAAAATATGAAGAGTTGACACATATTTGTGCAAATATTCCGCATCATGAAAAACTGCATTTGCATATTGCAAAATAGAGCACCTTGAAAAGTATTCCTACCCCTTTAAATTTTCCACATTTTGTCATGTTGCAACCAAAAACGTAAATGTCTTTTTGGGATTTTATCTGATAGATTGACACAGTGGCACATAATTGTAAAGTGGAAGCAAATAGATAAATGTTTTTTCAAAATTTTTTACAAATAAATATGTGAAAAGTGTGGCATGCATTTGTATTCAGCCCCCTTTACTCTGATATCCCTAACTAAAATCTAGTGGAACCAATTGCCTTCAGAAGTCACCTAATGCCACACTTTTCAGATATCTATTTGTAAAAAATTTTTTAAAACCATTTATCATTTTACTTCCACTTCACAATTATGTGCCACTTTGGGTTGGTCTATCACATAAAATCCCAGTAAAATACATTCACGTTTTTGGTTGTAACATGACAAAATGTGGAAAATTTCAAGGGGTATGAATACTTTTTCAAGGCACTGTATACATTGTTTTCAGGGTTTACAGAAGTTTTACAAATATTACCACATCAGTTCTCATTAAATCTCCTAGGAGCTCAAGCGCATGAATGTGAGAGAGAGGGTAGTGGATACAGTGTTGTGCTATAGTATATATATACTCCCCCATGGGAATGCCCATAAATTGGGCTTCAGCCTGGGTAGGAGCAGACAGTCAGCATAAAAAGGCATAAAAATGTTTTGCATAATATGGCCACAGATCATATTGGAACCGTGTGTATATATATTTGTCTCCTGGTAAGTGATGAGGTTGGAAAGCAGTGGGGGAGGAAGAACTGTCAATCCCATTAGCTCAGGAAATGATATAGCACAGTTCAGAAAGGGAACAAATGGTTTATACACTCTGTCTCAAAGAGGATTCAACAAAGCTTTTTGAGTTGTGTGTGAGAAAGTTGTGGGTTAAATAAATCTTTAAGAATGCAAATTTTAACTTGTGTGTTACAAATGGAAAAACTGGTCTGGCAGTGATGGGCTTTACGTATGCATATTCCATTTATATTTAGTTACTATAGTAACTATACCTTGTGTTATATTCAGCTATTGTCTGTAGTTCTGTAGTTCAGTTTTTCTAACAGAATTGTAAGTATGGGATTTTTTTTAAAGTTTGCTTCTTTCTCTTAAGATTATCTTACAGAACACTTACCTGTAAATTACATCTTTCTTAAATGCTTGTCGTTTATCTCACTCTAATCTGCTATATTCAGTGCTAAAATGTTTCTGGTTAAACAAAATGTGAAATTTGCTCTTTTAAGGTTGAAATTGAGTAGTGCTGTATGGGGCCTAATACTGTTGAAAGTTTATGAATTATACATGTTTATGTGCCTAGGATAACCATATTATTTGCATAATTCACTTTGTGAAGTTCATTTTGTTACCTATTGTAGATGAATTTCTAAGGTACTGAAATTGCAGCATATCTAAACCACAAAACAGAAATGAAATATATTGCAGCTTTCCATTCCCTAGATCACTGCATTCATTTTCTGTTTTTAATTTTGTTTCCTTTACTTGGTGTTCCAGCCAGTAACACACTTCCTGTCTTAGGTCTGGTTTACACTGGTGTGATTTCACTGGGACTTGAGTCATGCAGAATCACATGACAAGGGATATTCCATTGTTTTCAATTGTGTCAGTTCACACCAATACAACTTAGCAAGGAGTGATTTTGCAAAAGGTTCTTGGTGGAATCCTAAAGTGATTTTGTCTACATAAAACATACAAACCGTATCAAAGTAGCATCAAAGCTGCATTCAAGTTGCGTCCAAGTAACACTACATAATCACACTGACAGTAGAATCAAAATCATATTGCAGCAGTGTGAACCTAGCCTAATGCCTTGTACACATGATGATAATTTTGGAACTGCTGTAATGTATTATATTTGTATGGTATTTTCAGCCAAAACTGTACTGATTAAACGAAAATCGTACAATCTGGTATTGTACAAGAAAAATATTTGTGTTTGTCCCTTCAGATAATTTTGAATGAACTGTCGTGATCGGCTGTCGAAAGCTGAAAACCTATTTTTTGTACAATGTTCTGATCGTGAGGCTTAAGGGTGGCTGCTCTATCCATGGAAGAACAACGGTGACACCCTTGGACAGCCGCATTGTCTTGAGAAGGAAGTTTTAGTTGGATTAGTAGATTTAGATGGACTTTACAAAATGACTAATAAATTAAAGCTTAGTTCCAGCTAACTTTTTTTTTAAAACTGAAGTTCAGTCATTTTTTGATACAGCACAAAACACATTAGTTATGTGTCATGATGTATACTCCATTGCCTGCTCATTCTTGTAAAAGATCTTCCTTTCAGTGCTTCCTTTGTAGCTGCAGGATATTACCCTTGGCAGCTTTGTTCTGGCTCTATGAAAATTAACAGCCACTGCCACTGCTAGTCTGAAAATTGTTTGCGCTCTCCTCCAATTGCTAAACTCATATTCCTATTCTCCCACAATGTATTGTATTCTGTGAATTAAAGTGTATGTGAACCCTCACCTTGTAAAACAATCCATTCAGTTTAAAATATTTTTTTTACGTGATCCTGGTGTTCCTGCTTGGGGGACTAGCAGGAATACCAGGGATTTCATACAAAGGAGGCAATATAAAGAGAACAGGATACTTTCATACAAGTGCATGATACAGCATGCACATATCAAGAATTTGAAATGTTGGGTTTACATATTCTTTAATGTTGATGACAGGATCTGCACCACCTATTCATAGTAAGTACATTTTGTTCTTAGACTATTGCTATCCATTGGATGATTTACACTCTATACCAGTTTCAATTTTAGTTTGGTTTAGCCAGTTAGTTACCAGTAGTTATTGGGACAAATATAACAAAATAATCACCTCAGTGAGGACACATGGCATTCATGTCACAGAGCATGATGGATTTTTTAAAGATGGAGCACAGCAAAAGGTATTTTCTTTCTGACTTTCTCTTGCTCTCAGTTAAAACTCTTTTTGACCATATCTAAAAAGGACAGGATGAAATAGGATAGATTGTGCCATCTGACTCATTTATTGTGCATAAATTTCAGTTTGAGCCATTGAACACTGTGAAGTGTTTTATTTTGTCTGTGTTGTTTTTTTAGCAAAGCAGGTAAGGTTGTCATGGCAAAAAACACGCAAAGAATCCTAGAGCGCCACATATTGACTTGAAGTATAAATATGAATTATTCATATGCAGTGTTTCATATAATATGATATTAAATAATATGTATTGTGACTTTATGAAAGTTGAGGTGATTGATGTCGCTATGTGTCACCTCGCATGCATTCATATCTAGGAGACGAAGGTAGAGTCCACTCCGGTTTTCCAGGCCACCTTGGCAGGGTTGGTTCTGGACTGGATTTTGCGTTCCACTGATGACCACCAGCAGGTGGTATGAATAAAGCAGGACTGGAGCAAGAGGTTGCCCTTGGCCTGGGACTCAGGAAGCCATACCTGAGAGAGCTGTGGATGAGAAAGTTTGCATTGTACAAGAAAGGAAAAGGTTTGCACACATTTTGTTTTGTTGGTGACAGGCAGAAACCCTTCACCTGTGAGATAGGAATCTATTCTGTTTAGTTAGTGCCTGGATGGCAAGGATTTATTTTCTGTTCTGTTTTGTTTATTTTGCATGCAACCTTCTAAATAAAACTGGCTATAAGTCAGATTTTTAAGAAAGACTTGCTGTCTGGACTACCTTTTTCCCAGGGA